CATATTCTTATTCAGAGTGTGTTTTGGTGGTAGGTACTGAGCTAATGGTGCTGGGTTGCTTCAGATTGTGAATTGTTTGTATTGTATGTTACACAAACCACCTTCAGTCCCTTGAGAAATGAGCAGCCTATATATAAATATAAATGCACAGAAATTCAAACAAACATTCACTATTTGTTAATTTACTAGCATGCTCATTTTTATGTCAGATAGAATGGATGGAACAATGCATAGCTGTGCAACAGTGGTTTCCAGACTTTCAGATTTGGGGACTGTAATGTCAACTATTTTTATAAACTCACATAATTTGTAGAATTATTTAAATATTTGTGTTATCCTTCATCTATTCACTGAAAGAAAAACATAACAAAAAGAGACTATGAATTAAGAAATGATTGAAAGTGCTTTTAAACAATTTTGTATTTTATTTATCACAACTACATCTACACACAGTTAAAAAAATAATATTACATATGCATGCAAGATCTTCACAGAAGAGGAAGTTTTCTGGCACCTGCTAAAAAAATCCCAAGGGACAGAATCACTTCATTCTTTTTACTGATTGCTCTCCCCCACACAACACACTTGTTCCAAAAATTTAAATAAAAGAAGCTTTAAAAAAAATCCAGGAATGGGGTATTTTTACATGCCCCCCTTATTTACTTGTTCACACTTTGTACTTGCTTAGAAAACTAACCTCTTTGTGCTTAGAGAAATAACCACACTATTTGCTGCTAGAGGCTCACACGTCACAGCAGGCAGACAGATTCAAGCAAAACTCAGACTCCTTCACATGGAAGTACAGTGGTAGCCCAGCCTATATGTGCATTGATAGCAGCCAGGAGTTTAAAGGAAACCTCAGTGCAAAGATTGGTATGGCTAAGGAAGATCATATAAGTAGATCTGGAGAGGTCTTCTCCCCCCTGCATTACTGCCTCTTCTTCTCAGCTTCACCTCTGAAGACACAGTTGGGACATCTCTGTGAGTTGAAGCTAGGAAGTGAGGTGTGTGGAGACCTGTGGGATAGTTGGGTAGTTATGGGAATGGGAGAACAGCAATATAGTTCAGCAATACGTTTATAGGACAAGAACATGGATGGGCAGCCCAAATCAGTTGGTAGTGTTTTTCCCACTCTTGCTCCTAGACCAATCTATATTTCCCCTTCACATCACCCCAAACACTGAAGTATGGTTTGATCAGTGTCTGTGCCACTGGAAGAGCTGTGTGAATGTATTTGATGTAGAGGAGTATAGAGAAGACCTTAGAGAAATGATATAGTTATCATTGGTAAAATATAGGGGCTGTAGCGGCTCACATGGTTAGAACACTGAGACAGAAGAACATTGAGAGGTCAACAGTTCAGCAGTTCAAAACTGAGAGCACAAGCCACATGACAGAATGAGCTCCTGTCAATTTGTCCCAGCTCTTGCCAACTTAGCAGTTTGAAAGCATGAGAACGCAAGTAGATAGATAGGTACCATTTGGTGCAAAATAACAGGGACATGAAAGGCACCCCTTCAGGTGTCCCTGGGCAACAGTGATGTTACCAGCTAATCCTTTCAAGATGGAAGGTTGAATGTAGTAGTAGCAGTAAAATATGACCTTACCTGGGAAAACAGGAAAGCATGAGAATGAAACTCAAGATTGACTTTCTTCAGTACAAGATGGAAGGAAGGGTATTCTGTCAAGCTTTCAAGATTCTGTTATTACAGAGTATATCAAGAAAGCAGAGTTCTAATATTTTTTGTGGCATTTGTTTCCTAAGCAGACTAAGCATTTGTCTGAAGCATTTTCTGAAGCATTTTCATCTGAAGCATTTTCTCTTTTAAGAACCATTTTAATTTTATTAAATTCTAATTGTTTATAAAACAAATCATTTTGGTTCTTTAATTCTTATATTTGCAGCATTTTAAATATTGTAAACTACTATTCTGATTTTGAGGAAAATCAGTACACATTGTTACTCATATAAAATATATTTTAAAAATTAAACATCTAAGAATAGTAGAAGGGAGAAGTAAAGGACAAAAAGCTTCCTTGTTTAGAGTTAACAGCTCTTCAAACCATTGAAGTATTCAAAATATTGGCTGAAAAATGACTTTCAGGTAAGATCGGGCTAACAATTTCAGGACAAGAAATTATAAGTGACAGATGATTGGGCATATATTATTTCTGCATAAGGATCATTCTGTAACTCATTAACTTAGATAAAGACTCCGTGTCTGTCTCACAATGGTACGTTATCAAGATCTGCTTCAAAGTACAGGTTGACAAGACAGAAGCAGAGCAGAACTTTATGGCACAACAGAGTAAGTACATTTTGGAAAGTACTAAGGATCAGATTGCTGCTTTATTCTATTCTTATCTGAGAATTGATTCCCCTCTCCCCGAAATGCAGTCCTTTAAACATGAGATTTGTTTAAGATTTACTGAGAATATGTTCAGGAGGCAGGTTTTCTTGTGTAGTTATAAATTAAGGGCTATCTTCTTTCAGAATACGGGTTTTTTTTTGTATGTATGTGTATATGTGTGTTTAGAATATGTGAATATGTGACTCTGTGTGTATAATTTATAATAACTGTCTTAATCATCAGTCCAATAAGCCCTGAGTAAGCAATACACATGCTGTAGGACCTAATTTAAATTAAATAAGCTCTATTTTCAGTGGAAAAAAGAATTCTAGGTAGCTTAAATTGAAAAGTGGAAGCTTCCACTGTATTCCTCATTGCTCTTCAAGAGTAAAGAACAAAAGACCATACTAGCTCAGGTTTTACTGAGCATTTTTATGGTGTTATATGATCCCCTATGGTCTAGAACATCTAATGTGCCTGCCACATTTATTTTGGTACTTTGCCTTCTGCTACTCAATGATGCTGGATATTTTTTTAAAAAAAACCTACAGATACTTCACATTGACTTTGGCAATCTAGTATTTTGCCTAGAATAATGTAAATACAGATGTAGGTAAAGGGTAAAAAAGGCTTTGGAGGAAGTAAGGGAAACGGATGGTTGCACTCGGTGAGTTAATCCTTTTCTATCAAAATGAATATTATTTCTAATTTAATGTGTGTTCTTAGAGGTATTCCTATGTTAATACTAAGGAAATACACTATCTCTTTCAGTTCAATAGGTGACTTCGGAATAGTGGACCACAAAAATTTTAGCTATTTAAGATTGCCATTTGAGGAAGGTGGGTTTAATTTATGTAATTTGCAAAATATCATTGGGCATATATTTCATGAGCTATTAGTATGTGGAATAAAAATATACTAGATTATTATTCTTTAAGGCTCTGCTGGAAAGTTATTGTCTATTTCTCTTGCAGTCTTGGCAAGTTCTTGGAACAACATATAGTAAGAAAATATTTTATTTCTAGAAGCGTGAGCAGTGAAAAATATATTGGGGTCATATTGTAGCAAACATTGAGTTTAAATAATAAGATTCATGCATATTTAACTATTTGGGAAAATTTTATTCTAAAAATAGATGATTAAACATTTTATTAGAAACTCTTATAGAAACAGGTTTATCACTTTAAAGCAATTAAAGTTGGGATTTTTCCCAACTTCAGTTTGGTCTTTTCAGTTCACAGTAATGGCAATATTTTAATTTATGAGATGCTCCCTTATTTGATGAAATCCATGACACAGGTAAAAGTGTAAAACCCATAACATATCTCTATGAAAGATAGACAATATTTATTTTTAAAGCGGGCAGTTCTTTAGCTCATGTTTAGAATCCCAGTCCACTTTAAAGATGTTCTTAAAATGATAAAATGGTGTCAATGGATTAGAGATGAAAATTGATTCATTAAAAATGTATAAAGAGTATACAGGACTCCCCAAAAATGTACTTGAAAGGATAGACATTAGATTTTCTTTGTTGTAGATATATATATATAAAATAGAGTTTATGATCCAGGTGATATGGTCCTGTAATAATCATTTGGTACTTTTTGGAATTATATTTTAATGTAGGTCAGTAACTTGAGATACGAGACTTAGAAATTGGGATCATTTAAAATCTGGAAATGATAAAGATTAAACGTTAAACTTAAATATCAATGGGAAATTAAAGTTAAGAAAAACTTACTAGGTTATTGTCTAAAAGGTGGAATGTCAAATTAATTAAGATATGTATAGACTGAAGATTATTGATGAATATTAGAAAGGTACTTTTTGTTTGATTGATAGAATAAGAACTGTATTGGTTCGAATATGACAGTAGATATTATGGGGGAAAGAGAGGGAATTAGTTGTTGTAATACTTTGAGA